ACAAGAAATGGCAATTGCTATTTGTGATCCTGCTTCTATTTCGCTCATATTCTAGGGCAACAGAGAGAGATGAGAAAGACGGCAACAATCCAAGACTAGCGACAGATAGAGAGAGAAGAGAACGGCATCCCGATCAGAGCTCGACCTCAGCCCTGCCCTCCTCTCTCCCTCTCTCTCTCTCCTACGCCACACACTTTCTCCTCAAACCATAGACGACTCGCCTACACCATAGCCACTCCTCCGTCGCTTTGAAACTCTAGAAGGAAGCAACAGGTACGAAATCCATATATTTGCATGTATATATATATATGCTTTATGATTTAAAAAATTTCAATTTCATGTATATATATATATATATATATATTTGTATATATTTGCATGTATATATATATGCTTTAGACATATTGACAGAAATTCTATGGTATCTGATATCATTCATAATGGTGCTTGGGCTGTCCAAATTGATTTACGAAGTTTGTTTTGGGTGCTTTATTTGCCGTTACAATTTGGAAAATTTGGTCAAGTAGAAATTCAACATTACACAATAGCAGAAAAGACTCTTATGAATATGTTGTCAGGATTATAATTTGGGATATGCTGGCATATCTCAATCTTAGATTGGAAGATTTGTTGACTATTTGCAATTGATGACAATTCAGATTGTATAGCTTTCTGCTGCACATTCAGATAATGTTTCTATATGAGTGGTTTTGATAGAAGGCTTGCTGAAGTAATATATTTTGAAGATCAAAGAGAAGCTGCCTGCTCATGTGTTGATTAGATTTGGCTTTTAGGCTAATAAGTTTCATAATCTTTTAGTTTGTTTTGATGTCTTTTTGCTGGGAGTGAAATGTATCCATTCCTATTTATGTATTGGAGTTTATCTCCTTGTGTAATTGTATTATTTTCGTTATATTTATAAAAACACGCCATTCGGAGAAAAAAAAATATTTCTGTGTTGATGGAATATTTATTCTGAAATTCGGTTATAATTCTCTTTCATGACCTTACAGTGAGTTATTGTGGACTTACTATATGAACTTTTTTTTTATCTTTTAGTTTTTGATGATGATTTTCTATCATGAAATACAACGGATTTTCTTAAATGCATGTAAATGAAAGTCTTCTTTCTTATAAATTAAAGCCTAACAAAAGTATTCACTAGTTATACTTGTCTGAGACTTGTAATTTTTTTTGTTTTTTTCTTTTTCCTTTCTTTGTTAAACAAAAACAAAAATAAAGTTCTAATTTTGAAGTCTCTTTATGCAAATTGGTGATTAATTTGAGTATTATGGTAGATGGGTTTCTTTTACATTTTTCCATATTCTATTCAAAAATGGTAGTTGGGAATGGTAGTTGAAAAAAGAAAATGGTGGTTATGTTAAAAAATAGCATTTTGGATAAAATGCATCATTGGAGTAGAATTGCTAAAATGTAGCATTTTGACACTGTAGCACCTGTCAAAATATAAATTTGGCATGCAAAAATGACTTTTATCATTGGAGATGCTCTAAGCAAACTAAATCATCGAAAAGGAGAAACTAAAACAAAAGAAAAAATCTCTCTTCTTTTGCAGTCCAACAAACTAAAGAACGTACAAACAAGCACAGACCCAACATAAGATCAGTGGGGGCGGATGCTCCCACTGTATTTTTTATATTTTCATTTTGTACCTCAATTTTTTTTATAATTTAGGAAGATGCCCATACTAAAATTACAATTCACCCCCACTGGATTTTTTATCTCGTTTTACATTTTATACTTCAAATGTTTAAGAATTTATGAAGATACCCTTACTAAAATTACAATTTGCCCCCCACTAATTTTTTTTTTTTTTTTTTTTTTTTTTGCATTTTATACTTTAAATTTTTAAAAATTTATGAAGAAAATCTCATTAAAATTACAAAAATGAACCCACCATATAAGTTTGCCCCCACAAATTAACACAAACTTTGTTGTTAGTGTTGCAACAATAATAGTTGCTTCTGAGTGGCTCTATATTATAATGTCTCCTTTTTAACAGTGGCATGCGCATATAACTTTGCCATCCTCCTATTTGTTATAACTTCCATTTCCTGATATATCCAACTATGAATTAAATAAACAAACACTTGCGTCTGTTCTCATCCACTTAGATCATTGAGTGCAATCAATCAGGAGCTTAGAGGCAATGTAAGGAGAGGCAACAATGGACCAAAGCAGCAGCAAGCCTGTTAAGGCATTGCTTGTACTCCTGAACTTCATATTGATGTCAATTGGTCAAGTAGGTGGCTCAATTCTTGTAAGGCTATACTTGTTGCATGGAGGAAAGAGGCAATGGCTTGCTGCTTGGTTACTCACTGCTGGCTTCCCCATCCTCATCTTCCCCCTTGCCATTTCTTATGCACAAGTGCGAGCCACGGCAACAGCCACCGGACTACAGATCACACCAAGGCTTGCTGCATCAAGTGCCTTCTTGGGAGTTCTCCTTGGTCTTGGTGGCTACCTTTACTCCTTCGGCTTATTTACCTTCCTGTCTCAGTTTCTTCTCTCAACTCGCCTTCACAGCAATTTTCACATTTATAGTTGTGAAGCATAAGTTCACTCACTACTCGATCAATGTTGTGGTTTTGATGACCTTTGGATCAGTTGTTCTGGGGCATCACACGAATGGGGATCGTCCTTCCGGAGAACCTTGCTGCTGCTTTCATGGATTTATTATGCCTGCAGTGGAGTATACTCGGTTGAAGGCTGGCTTGACTATCACTTTTGATCTTGTCATGCAAGTTCAATTCCTTGTTTCCATGTTTTCCGCTCTGTTTTGCACTGTTCCCACGATCATCAACGATGATTTTCCCGGTAGGTGGATTACCAACCCAAATTTCATGGACTTTGCAACTTTAATTTCCTGATTCCACATAGTCCAGGAACTCGTTTGCAAGCATGCTTTGTTTAGAAGCAAAAATTAGTACCATATTTTTCTACAAAGCAACAACATGTGGCTGTTTTCTAACACGAGTTGCACAAGTTCCTCTGACAAATAAGTAGTTATGGTCAAATGATTTGTAACTTTAGCCTCTGCAAAGTACTACACTTCAAATGGTTATTTTTGGTTGTGCACTGTCTAAGGTTTTGTTTTCTACAAGAAGATAGAATAAGTTTGTATTAACCAACTTCTTGTCTGTCCTCAAATTGAACCATAATACTAATTTCTTTTCTGGTACTGTTTTTTGTTGTTCTAAAAAAGGAAATAACATAGTAAACTATAAGTTGCTTCCTGTTAAGCATTATATACTTCTGATAATGTGAATCTGTTAAGAGGCACCCATCTACTTGATTTGTTTCGACTTTTAACCACCTTCTTTGATGCATGTGTGTAGGCTATTCCTGAGTAGGCAAGAGATTCTTGTGTCATTAGCAATAGGAATGCAATTGTTGATTAAAGGAAGTCTTTGATTGACCTTCAGCCCCGCATCACTATTGGGAGGCTTGTGTCATCTCTTCTTGTTCCAGTACAGCAAATCTTTGCTGTAATGTTCTTACCTGAAAGCTTCAACGCCAAAAAGGGCATGGCTTAGCCATGTGTCTAGGTCGGGTTGCCTCTTACTTCTATGGAGAATTCAAGGTAAGTTGAAAAAGCTAGCAGCAAAACAAGAAGTCGATCCAGAGGCATTTTGATATTATCAAATTTGAAGTAATTTAAATTGATTGAACCCAAGTCATGTTATCCATGTTTTAAAAGTACCTACTAAGAAAACTCTCTTTTCTATGTTTTGTAGTCAGATTATCCTATTTTCTTATCTAATGTTGGTCAAACCATCTCATTTCTGTAATTTGTTCTTGTTCCAGTATCTACTCAGTACTACATTGTTTATAGATTTTTCAGTTTTGTTGCTAATCTGAATAATATACTCATATCCTTAATTTTAGATATGTGAAATAAAACTCTGATAAAGACGAGGGATCGAGATCGGCCTGATGCGGCTATGATGAAGACACATATCTGCCGCCTGATGATAACTTTGATTAAGACCCTTTGTTTATAGAATAATATAGTCATATCCTTAATTTTATTTATGTGAAGGCGTTACTGTTTCTTTCACTGACTTATAGGCATCTCAACTCAAATATATAGTTAACATCCATTACAATTAAGGGCTAAGATCTACTATCTAAAATATAACATCCAAAATATCTAGGAAGTTTACTTTTTTAAAATCTTGGTAACTTCTACAAACTCTCCAATATTCTAAAATTCTCCAATCCCCTCTACAATACAAGTGGAAGACTCTAAAACAAACTCTAGTCACCCCATGCAAAGTAACATGGTTTATTCAACATTATTTGTTAAAATTTCAAACATCTCATCTCTTGCCACAAAGTCTTTAAAGGCTCAGCTTAATATGATCTTCCAGATTCTAAAAGTAATCTGGCTTTAACCTATCAATGGTATACGCCAAAATTTCATCAAATAGCCTCTCAAATTTTGTATTTAAAGCACTTTTTAAGAGTGAAACTGATATAAGACAGAACAGGCACAGCATGAAGTTTATAAAATGAATACACAACCAAACTATCACAGTAAGAAAAAATTAATAATAAAAGAACAATTTATTGCCAAAAGTAGAAACATTCAACTTCATTACTCTATTTATGTTCCTCGCCAAATCATAACTTAGATTATCCATTAAGCATGTCAACCCTTTAAAATACAGATGGAACAATCTCAACTAAAACTAATTTTTTCTTATATTTGGTAGCATACTGCTGAATGGGTTCCACAGCATACTCCTCTTAGAAGATGGTTAGAAAAGGAAAATCCTTTTTTCTTCTCACCAACGTATTCTCTTTCTGTAATAATATATGCAGTACTGAATTCGAATCATAGTATATATTATTGTAATGCAAATTAGTAAAGGCTAACGGAATCTAGAATGCTATACAGAATCTATACAACTCCATCCTGATGGTTCTTCAACCACATTATAACATCATTGTCATTTGTCAGCCAAAAATAAAGATGCTCAATTCAACTTGACTGCTTCATAAAACAAGATGATAATATAATTTCACTAATCACAAACAAGAAATGAACCTCACAAGATCATTAATCTGCCCAATGGAAAGTCCGGGTTTCATTTAAAGAAAGGAAATTCCCACCCTCCCTAAAGAGATTCTGCAGTTCAAAATACTGGAAACATACCTTAAGAATGTACAGCTCATTCGTACACTCAACTCACAATTGGCACACAAAATCACCACTTGTTTCTATATCCTCATTATCTGCATCATCGAAGTCATCAAGATCCATGCTGCCTCCTCCAATGAAATGAACCCCGGTCTTGGACACCTCAGGTAGTGTCCTTGCCTCTTGTATTATCGACTGTACTTCTTCAATGCTTTGCAGTGGGTTATTTACATCAATGCTATCATAGCTTCCTCCTTCCATCAATTCTATGGGCAAATTCTTCAAGAACCATGGGTGGTGTTTAATCTCTGTAATCGTTATTCTCTGGGAAAGAGCAATTCCAGATAGTTCAGCATATTCTATACTAAATAAGTCAAATCTAATCCAATAAAATAAAGAGCTAAAACCAACAAAATATATATATATATAGCAAGTCCGGTTTAGGCTCATATTTGAGAGAGTACTAAAATTCATATGCATGTGTTCATTTTTTAAATAAGAAACTCAATTTAGATTTTTTTGGTACTCAGCATGCTCATATTGGGAGGACAGTATTTAGCAGGTATCAAATATTGGAACTGACTTTGAATAATACGTCCCAACAGGTCAGCAAAAGATAGTTTCAGTCTTTCAGAAATCGAAGTTATTTAATAGGCTCTCAGAATTCCTAAGTTTTGACAAATTAGAAGCTATATTACCTTTTCAGGGTTCCCCACAAATATCCGAGATAGAAGATGTCTACACTCCATTGAAATTTGGACACAATCTGGAACCGAGTAATGGACACTAAGTATCCGCTGTCACGAGAAAAAACATTTTAATCAGGACTCCGAATGGTAATACTCAAACCAATAGACAAATAAATGTTTTTCTTTCCTATTGATGAAAAGTTAGTGATATTTCTCACGGTGATTGTCTTTCTGAAGTTTCCAGGGTCGGTAGGATCTTGAAAGGGGTACGTCCCAACCAGCATCACATACAAAGTGACCCCAGCAGACCAAACATCTGCAAGCTAAAGTTCTCGAGGATTAGATATAGAGTTCGGATTTAAATGACAACCATCATGGAGTGCATCACAAGGGAAACAAATGTTCACCTTCCCATCATATTCTTTTCTGGAGAGGACCTCTGGTGCAATGTATGCAGGTGTCCCTACTTTTGATTTTGGTTGCGAATGCAGCACAGATGACTGCAAAATGAGGCCAAGGAAGAGAAAAATAAAGGGTAATCAGAATTCCTGATAACCAAAACAGTTCCGAGGCACTTGTAGATTATAATTACCTTGGAGTACCCAAAATCACAGATTTTGACACGCGGTGCTGTGCTTCCATCTAACAGTGTGTTTTCCAACTTCAGATCTCTATGACATATTTGCTGCAAGAGACATGGATCTTTAAAGAACAAGAACTACAAAAGGTACGATTATTATGATTAAAGAAAGCAAGCATCTGTTATGAATACCATTGAATGACAGTAGCTGACTCCGGATATCAGTTGTTGAAAGAAGAACCTAGCCTGATATAAATGAGAAAGAAGAACCAAGAATTAGCTGTTGATATTTTTCAGGAAAGAATCAGTTATACAGAAAGTTAAAACAATAATTTTGAATGTAAAAGTGAGCATATCCCTTTTAAGAGATAAATAGATTTTGGTTCTTCAAAGGTGGAGAGCATCCATGACAGGCTAACAACAAAATAATAATCACTAAGCTGCGTCAATCGATTATAACATGTGTCGATGGGCTAATTTCATATGGCACTATAGCACAAAACCATTAAAATGTACTAATCCTAACCATTCAAATAGGAAACCATTATAGTGAATCACTAACCATGTGTCATGCTTCTGGCATAAGGAGGGTTGTGTAGATAATAATCTAAAAGAATAGAGAGTTGGGTTGTAGAGTCTTTCACAAGAATAGAGAAGAGTTCTTGATATTTAGGCGGAAAATTGTTGAACTCTTTTAAGTTCTTAACCGTTGATCAGGATTCCTATAAATATGCAAAAGTGTTAGAAGTTAAATTGTATTCTTTTAAAATTGCTGAACTCTTTTACAAGTGTGTATTCTTTTAGTAAAAATAAAAATGTATTATTACTCTGTAGAAATTAAATTGTATTATTCTTCAAAGTTATCGGTGTATAACACATGACACCGCTGCGTGTAAGGTATTTTTCACGCGTCGCCACGCTCCAAGTGAAAATATTATCATCCCATTTGTCACGTGGCGCCATGTCAAAATTTAATGAAAGCCGCGTACACCATTTGTCTGGCACCACGTCAAAATAGTATCATCGCATTTACGTACTTTGATAACGGAAATAACTATGCGTCAGTACCGCTTCAGTTAAATCACTAAAATATGTAAGCGGTGGTACAGTAATACATCTCGGTACTCTAAATACTAAATGCTTATGGGAGACTCTAAATAACGGGGGTTTTCACCGGTGTTTGGATAGAAGTTTTAATCAATTCGTTGCTTTTAATTTACCTCATTCTCGTTGAATCTACCAGCTTTGCATATCCTCTCAAAGAGTTCTCCTCCTGCGGCGTACTCCATTACTATGGCTAGATGAGTAGGTGTTAGCAAGAGCTGTGGAAGAGTGAGATGATGAGTATCTGTAAGAAAACTTCAGTAATACTTTACTTATATCATAACTGAAAAGTAAATTTGACTTTCAATTAAGTATAAACCATATTCACTATTCAAATCTCATATATCACGAATTTAGGATCTGGGAACTAAAACTGGATGCCCAAAATGCAAAAATAACACAAATTTTTCTATAGCTTTTACATATTCCATCAAGAAATGGATGTATCTTCCAAACCAAAGATTATTTTTTTGCTTAGAATAAGAATTCCAATATCAAGCATATCACTGCAAAAGAAAATCAGAATTCTCCTAAAAGAAAGAAAGTATATACAACTACAGTAATGAGACATAAAAATGTATAATAACCTCACAATTTTGAGCAAGAGAGCATTGATAACTCCTACACACTGCATCTACACAATAAATATGGAATAAAAGATTCTACTAAAAAGCAAACCTCTTTGAATCTAACAATATTGGGATGCTTCAAGGATCTGTGGTTCATGATTTCTCTTTGCACGTGTTCATCAATCTGCAACATAAACCTCCCAATCAATCCAAAAAAAGAAAAAAACCCATATCAAAATGAAAAATATATATATAAAAAACATCAAATAATGAAAGAATTGAAACCTTTTGGCCTCTCTCAATGAATTTGACAGCCAAAAGCTCTCTGGTGAACTTATCTCTAACAAGCTTGGCAACACCAAAGTTACCAGCTCCTATATCTTTCAGAATTTCGAAACGCTCCATAACTTGTTGCAGCTCACACTCCGTATCTTTCTATTTCTATGTCTTTCCTCTGTACTGGTTCTCTGAAACCCCTGTAGTCTGGTTTATAAAGTCATCTAGATTTGACTGCTGCAAAGAGTCTCTGTTTGTTTGTGTGTGTGAAAATGGAAGGTGGTAAATAACGTAAAATGGTTGAAAATGGAATTGTTGACTGACTGTAGAGAGGCGTGTTAAGGGGAAAATTATTGAATACCCCGGCCCTGGGGAATACCAACCCCACCACCACATCCATAATCAAATAGCACCCACTACCCCGGGTACTATACTTTCGGGTATTCAATAATCTCTCGTGTTAAGGGGGTTGGTGGGGTTAAATTTGAGAATGATTATCACTGAATTATGGGCCCACGTGCCCCAATAGTGGCCTGGTCCAAATGTGAGCCCAAAGGCCAATGCTCGAAACCCCAAAAACAGGCTGTTGCAAACTTTAATAGATTCCATAAATCGGCAGCCGTATAAGCCAACACAACCCGTTGGAGTCATCATCAATGGCAATTGGGGGCGGGGATCCCATCCCATCCCATCCCATCTCTGTTTAAAATATTTACTCTGTTTTTATTAAACAGGTGTAGATTTTATAGGGTATTTTTGTAATTATAATATAAATTTAATAAAAATAAATATAAAATAAATTTTTAACTGTGATAATATACTTTTGGATAAAAATAAAATTCAACTTTTCAAAATAATACAAAAAAAAAAAAAAAAAAAAAAAAAGTTCTCCAATAAGAATAATCCAAAGAATATTTAGTCACTGAAATAAAATAAATTATGAATTTCTTAATATATATCTAATATTATTAAATAAAAAATAAAACATAATGACAAAATTATAATTTATCGTTATAAACGGACAAGGTGGGATCGTTCTAAATGGGACAGGTACCTAAGGAGAAGAGGTATTCTGTCATCCCTAGTTATCAACGTGGAGACGGGGAGGCCCTTCAATTTCAGGTGCATTTGTACAATTATTAACCATGGATTTTTTTACTTATTAACCATGAATTTTTTACCGATTGGAATTCTAAAAGTGCGATTCCTAACAAGAAGTCAACAGCTACACGTAAACGAGTCCACAACATATGACATAATATTACAAATTTACAACAAATTCCCATACATTGGGCAGAACGCCAACCATGAACATCCTTTCCTTAACCATTAAGAAGACACTCACTCTGTTATGATATGATTATCTTAATAGTGTTGATTAAAGGTATTATAAGCGAGCTGAATCAATGAAACCGCATAAATCCAACCACTCTTAATTGTACAAGAGTAGTTTGGATCGGTTCAATAATACAGTTTGTGTAAAAATATAACATAATATAATTATAATTACATTTCCCCTAGCCAAACCTTAAATAACCCAATTCTCTGTTGCCTTATATTCAAGAATATTGCAAATTTAGTTTCTAAAATCATTTAAGAACAAATCAATAATGTAATATACTAACACGAAATTTTTTGAGAAGAGTTTCGATTTTCTAGGGTATTTGGGGACATCTTAATGGGTTTCAATCAAAACTCCCAAAATTTGAGATTTCATAGATATTCAATCATACCACCAAATTAGGTCCCTTCTCTCTCCTCTTGCAATCATACTAGGCAAGGGCCAAGTTATGATTTCAACTTTTGAGGGGGCTATAATGTAAGAAAAAAAAATATCAACTAACATGACAAATTAAGGAGCAAAGCAAAAAGAAAAAAATAAATGAGAAAGAAGAACCAAGAATTAGTTGTTGATATTATTCAGGAAAGAATCAATTATACAGAAAGTTAAAACAATAATTTTGAATGTAAAAGTGAACATATCCCTTTTCAGAGATAAATAGATTTTGAAATTTAACATATGTTCGACGGGCTAACAACAAAATATAATCACTAAGCTGCTTCAATCGATTACAACATGTGTCGAGGGGCTAATTTCATATGGCACTAGCACAAAATCATAAAAATGTACTAATCCTAACCATTCAAATAGGAAACCATTACAGTGAATCACAAGCCATGTGTCATTCTTCTGGCATAAGGAGGGTTGTGTAGATAATAATCTAAAAAATAGAGAGAGTTGGGTTGTACAGTCTTTTACAAGAATACAGAAGAGTTCTTGATATTTGGGTGGAAAATTGTTGAACTCTTTTAAGTTATTAACCATTGATCAGGATTTCTATAAATAAGCAAAAGTGTTAGACATAAGTGTGTATTCTTTTAGTAAAAATAAAAATCTATTATTATTCTGTAGAAATTAAATTGTAATATTTTTCAAAGTTATCGGCCTACAACACGTGACACCGCTGCATGTAAAGTATTGTAGCGTGGCATTTGTCACGCATCAGGATTAGCACTCCCTGAAAGTTAATTCGCACCTTGATAATGGAAATAACCATCTACGCAATTACGCGTCAATACCACTTCTGTTAAATCACTAAAATATGTAAGTGGTGGTACAATAATACATATCAGGACTCTAAATACTAAATACTTATTAAAACTCTAAATAATCTGTGTTTTCAGATAAAGATAGAAATTTTTATCAATTCATTGCTTTTAATTTACCTCATTCTGGTTGAACGTTCTAGCCCTGCATCCCGCAACGTACTACATGACTATGGCTAGATGAGTAGGTGTCAGCAAGACCTGTGAAAGGGTGCAGGTGAGAAACTGTAAGAAAACTTCAGTGATACTCTACTTATACAAAATTAAATTTGACTTTCAATTAAGCATAAACCATATTCAATATTCAAATCTCATATATTACGGATTTAGGATCTGGGAACTAGTACGGGATGCCCAAAATCACACAAATTTTTCTATAGCTTTTACATATTCCATCAAGAAATGGATGTATCCTCCAAACCAAAGATTATTTTTTTGCTTAGAATAAGAATTCCAATATCAAGCATATCACTGCAAAAGAAAATCAGAATACTCCTAAAAGAAAGAAAGTACATACATCTACAGTGCTCGGACATAAAAATGTATAATAACCTCACAATTTTGAGCAAGTGAGCATTGACAACTCCTACACACTGCATCTACACAATAAATATGGAATAAAAGATTCTACTAAAAAGCAAACCTTTTTGTATCTAACAATATTGGAATATAACATGTGTTCGAGGGGCTAATTTCGGATGCCACTAGCACAAAACCATAAAAATGTACTAATCCAAACGATTCAAATAGGAAACCAGTACAGTGAATCACTCGCCATATGTCTAGAAGAATAAAGAGAATTGGGTTGTAGAATCTTTTATAAGAATAGAGAATTTTTGTAGAATTCCTGATATTTAATTACCAGAAAATTGTTGAACTCTTTAAAGTTCTTAACCATTGATCAGAATTCCTATCAATAAGCAAAGGTGTGTGTTCTTTTAGTAAAAATAAAATTATATTATTACTATGTAGAAATTAAATTATACTTCCTTTGCTTCAAAAAAAATGTCCGGTTTGGAAAACCGTAATTCACAAATTATGAGTCACGATTTCCCAAACAGGACAAGTTACGGTTAAAACCGATGATATTAAATCACTAAAATAAGTAAGCGTAAGAATAGAAGTTTTTATCAATTTTTTACTTTTAATTTACCTCATTCTTGTTGAATCTACCAGCTCTGCATATCCTCTCAAAGAGTTCTCCTCCCGCAACATACTCCTGGCTGTGCTTCCATCTAACAGTTTAGTTCCAACTTCAGATATCTCTGACATATTTGCTGCAAGCTGAGACATGGATCCTTAAAGAACTACAAAATGTACGATTATTATGATTAAAGAAAGGAAGGATTCGTTATGAATACCATTGAATGACAGTAGTTGACTCCGGATATCAATTGTTGAATGAATAACCTAGCCTGATATAAATGAGAAGGAAGAAGAACCAAGAATCAGCTGTTGATATATATATTTTTTTAATGGTAAATTCAATTGTATAAATAGAGCCCAAAAATGGAAACAAGGCTTTTGACCCAAGCAACTTACAGAGAAGCCCATATAAGTGGCCCAAGAGAATGCAAATGTCTGTTCTAACAGAAGAAACATAACTGCAATTCCGATGAGATACATATAGCAAACCACATTCGGTGGCCGAACAAAAACTAATCTGGGGGAATGGGAGGAGGACTAATCAGCTGTTGATATTATTTAGGAAGAACCAAGAATCAACTGTTGATATTATTCAGGAATGAACAAGTCCGATAATGTTGCATTAAATGAGCAGGAAAGAATCACTTATACAGAAAGTTGAAACAATAATTTTGAATGCAAAAGTGAATATAACCCTTTTCAAAGGTGGAGCATCCATTGACAGTTAACAGACAGGCAAACAACAAAATAATAATCAATTATAATATGTGTCGAGGGGATAATTTCGGATGGCACTATCACAAAACCATAAAAATATACTAATCCTAACCATTCAAATAGGAAACCATTACCGTGAATCACTAGTTCTGTTATGTTTCTGGCATAAGGAGGGTTGGGTTGTACGGTCTTTTACATTTTTGTAGTCTATGTAGATAATTTTCTTGACGAATAGGGTGAGTTGGGATGTAACAGATTTTTTTGTAGAGTTCCTGATATTTAAGGCGGAAAATTGTTGAAGGTATATCTTTTAAGTTATTAACCAATCTCCTATGAGTAAAAAAACAAAAAAAGTATTCTACTCCGTAAAAATTAAATTGTATTATTTCTTAAGGTTGCCTATCTGCAACACGATAGTGACCACCGGCTTTAAGGTATTTGTGGGCAACAGCGCCACGTCAAAATATTATCACTGCTGCGAGTAAAGTATTTGTCACGCGTCGCAACAAGGTAGCGCCATGTCAAAATGTTATCACCGCTGCATGTAAGACATTTGTCAAACGGTGCAATAAAATATTATCGGACACGTCGAGTACTGAAATAACTAATGGCAGGAGCGGTTAACGCTCCTGTAAGTTAATACGCACATCGAAGATTGAAATAACCAAGTGAAAGGACTGTTATCGTTGTCTTGTAAGTTAATATGCATGTTGAATACTAAAATAACTAAGCCACAATACAAAGCGGTATAAGTTAGTACCTGTTAAATCACATAAATAATTAAGTGGTAGTACAAGTTATTACATCTAGGGACTCTAAATATTAGAAGGATGACGAACGGGCCAATGACCTAGTGGTATTAACGTATCAACTTTTTACTTTTCAAAGGGAGGTCAGGAGTTCAAGTCTCACAAGAGATAAATATGTGTGAGTACCAACTAGGAAAAAAAAACATTAGAAGGATAATTGAAATAAATAACCAGTATTTTCAGATAAGAATAGAAAATTTTATCAATTAGTTGCTTTTAATTTAGTTCATTCTCGTTGAATCTAACAGCTCTGCATATCCTCTTAAAGAGTTCTCCTCCCGCAACGTACTCCACGACTATGGCTAGATGAGTAGTTGTTAGCAAGACCTATGAAAGAAAGATTGCAGATGAGTATATGTCAGATAACTTCAGTGATATTTAATTAATTTATTTTCTTTGAAAGGTGAATTTCAATTTTTATATATATAAGAAACAATGTACAAGCCCTGCTTGAAATAAGCCAAGGCTCTTATAAATGCAACAGTGCATGAACAAATAGGCCCAGTCCAAGATAGGCAATTCATGAACAAATAAACTTTAGTGGTACTTTACTTGTACCATATTCACTATTCAAATCTCATATATCACGGATTTAGGATCTGGGAACTAAAACTGGATGACCAATTGCATATCACATAAATATTTCTGTAACTTTTACATATTCCATCAAGAAATGGATGTATCCTCCAAAAACACTTCCACATTGACTTCAAAGAAAGAAAAAGAAAATCCTTTTTCATTGTTTTGATGAACCTGGTTTAGCAAGAGTTTGATGATCAAACTGGTCATCATTTTCAGAAGACGTCAAGCATTTCCCGTTTCTGTAAGCCTTAGCCTTAGACACATTAGGGCTTTTCTCATTGCTCATGTCCAAGTCTAGCCCATTTCCCGTCAATAAGAAGGTTTGGTTTGTGTTCCTCCATTTCTTCTGACTAGTTTCAATGTTGTCAGTGTATAATACATTAGTGACCACAACTAGTTGTAAGTTAATTGTCACGCGGCACAACAAGGTGTCGTCACGTCACTTCAGCATCATAATAATTGGTGCCACATCAAATATGTGTAAGGTATTTGTCATACGGAACAACAACGTGGCGCCGCGTCAAAATATTATCACCGACAGATGTAAACTCTTTATCAGGCGACACAACAAGGTAGCGCTACGTCAAAATATTATCATTGTATTTGTCACGCATTAAAGCCACCGCTCTTCTGCAAGTCAGTAAGGACGTTGAAGACTAAAATAACTATGAGACAGCATAATAAGTAAGCGGTTGTACAATAATACATCTCGAAACTCTAAATAACCAGTGTTTTCAAATAAGGATGGAAGTTTTTATCAATTTGTTGCTTTTAATTTACCTCATTCTTGTTGAATCTACCAGCTCTGCATATCCTCCCAAAGAGTTCTCCTCCCGCAGCGTACTCCATGACTATGGCGAGATGAGTAGGTTTTAGCGAGACCTGTGAAAGAGTGTAGAAGAATATCTGTCAAAAAACTCCAACACACTGCATCTACATAATAAATATGGAATACAAGATTCAACTAAAAAGCAAACCACATAATAAATATGAAATACAAGATTCAACTAAAAAGCAAACTTCTTTAAATCTAACAATATAGGAATGCTTCAGAGATCTGTACGTGGTTCATGATTTCTCTTTGCACATGTTCATCAATCTGCAACATAAACCTCCAAATCAATCCAAAAAAAAAAAATATCAAAATGGAATAAAAAAAAATCAAATAATGAAAGAATTGAAACATTTTAGCCTCTCTCAATGTATTTGACAGCCAAAAGGCAACCCATTAGTGTCGTCAATAGAGATGACAATGGGGGCGGAGAACATTGTTTTATTTTAGGCCTGCATCTTCAAAGCAATGCAAGTCGAAATCACCTTGACAATATATATATATATATATATATATATATATATATATATACTTAATACTTTTATTTAAAATTATAATTTATAACTATCCAAGTACTATTTTATTGTTACCCAGATTATCCAATACATGCTAGGAACGTATACGTTTTTAGCACCATGATTATTTAAAACCAACCCTCGTCTCCAAAAATGAATTGATTTGAAATTACTGCCCTATGTGAATCCTAGAGAATCATCCTCAACAGCCATTGCTTTTTCACCCTACACAACCTATCCTATTTCACCTAGCACATATTTTGCCCCTCAAATTTGTCAAATTTGCACCTCAATTTTTTGCACAACTCAAAATTGTAATTCTAAAACAAGACATATTGTAGGTGGGCAAAACTTCAAGCACTTGCTTTAGAATGACCTCCCTACCAGCAGCATACCAAAAGTAGCAATCATTCCAACTTCTGATTTTTTACTCCATCCATCCATTAGAAATTTCTAAATTTGCTCTTTTTTATCAAATTAAATTTTTTTTTTTTCATCCTTGTATTAAAAAAAAGCCAATTTTGCAAAAAATTGTTATAATGTTTAGATAAAAAAATCTCATATTAAAAAAAGGTAAACAAAAAACATCCCATATTATATGCAGAATGTGCAAAAAAAAAAAAAAAAAAAAAAAACTCCCTGATGTTAAAAATAAAAGAAAAGAAAAACTATATTTTTCAAATTGAGTAAATAAGGATATTTTCTCAATTTGAAGACTAAAATACCCAAAATGCCCCTTAAAGCAAAATAAAAAAACACTTGTATGCACAAATTTTTATTAATTTGTAGCAAATTTGACATTTTTATATGCAAATATGCAAATACTAAATATTAGAGGTGTTTATTAAGCATTTTTTTTTTTGCAATTTACCCTTAAAAAAAAGGAAAGTGCAACCACTATTATATACAGAATGTACAAATATTGCAGTGTTCAAAAAATGCCCTACATTTTTCAAATTGAGAAAATAAGGACAACTCTTCAATTTGAAAACCAAAAAGTCCCTTAAGACAAAATAAAAATAAAAATAAATAAATTTAATAATTAAATAATAAAAATAAGGGCATTTTTAAAAAAATTTATATAAAAAAAAAAAATTAATTTATTAAAAAAGAAATACCTAAAATTCCCTTAAAGGTATTTCGAAATTTTTATAAAAAAATTGATCAAAATTACTGACCAGGGAGCAATTGCTACAAATTTTCAAAATACAAGAACTTATATACACTTTTTTAAAGCCGAGATATTTCTTATACAATTTTACATGATTTGTTTTTGCTTTTATTTTTTTGTGCATTGCCCTAAAAAAGAACAATAGATGCGTATAAACTATAAATGTATGTAAAATTGTAAAGTAACCACGAATCTTGGGTTGGTCATCCTATAAACCCAATGTCCTGGTGTGGCCCAAGGAGTTTTTTGGGCCATTTATGTTTGGTCCACATGATCGCCAATCCCAACTATCCTAGACTGGCTCTAAAATCCAATGGCTCACATTTATTCACTCAAATCAAATCACTGCCAACGCGATTATAGCTCGCACGTCCCCAAAAAAGACAACCGAAAAAGCCTGTAACCACTCCTCCTCGCTCTCTCCGCCTCTCCCTCACATCTCTCTCTCTCCTCTCTTTCTCTCTCTAAACTTCTCGTTTCAAAATCAAACACCAGAACCAGATCTCAAACCTCACACGCAGAGGTCCAACCATGGCGGTAGCACCTACAGCACGCGAAGAGAACGTGTACATGGCGAAGCTGGCCGAGCAGGCCGAGCGGTACGAAGAGATGGTTGAGTTCATGGAGAAGGTGTCGGCGGCGGCGGACTCGGAGGAGCTCACGGTGGAGGAGCGCAACCTCCTCTCCGTGGCCTACAAGAACGTGATCGGCGCACGACGAGCCTCCTGGCGGATCATCTCCTCGATCGAGCAGAAGGAGGAGAGCCGTGGCAACGAGGACCATGTCTCCATGATCGGAAACTACAGATCCAAGATCGAGTCCGAGCTCTCCTCGATCTGCGACGGTATTCTCAAGCTGCTTGACACGAGGCTCATCCCTTCGGCTTCCTCCGGGGACTCCAAAGTCTTTTACCTGAAGATGAAGGGCGATTATCATCGTTATCTCGCTGAGTTCAAGACCGGTTCGGAGCGCAAGGAGGCTGCTGAGAGCACGCTCAATGCATACAAAGGGGCTCAGGTTTGTTTCTCAGTCGCTCCCTATGTATCTCTATGTATACATCGATTAATGCTCTTATGATGTATACATAATGCTCTTATAAATATACACACACATGTATTATTACATAACAATTCTCAAATTGACCATCAACTCAATTTGAGTTGAGCACTACTGGCTCTGGTAGATCTGATCCAATTTGATTTCATGATGAATAAAGTTTAAGATGTAAAGTGAGTTTTTATAATAATAAAAAAATCATGAATTTTGTTATAGAAATGTAGTAATTTTACTGAGCTTGGCAGTGAAATATGAGTTTTTGTAAAAAAAAATTATAATAATAAAAAAATCATGAATTTAGTTATAGAAATGTAGTAATTTTACTGAGCTTGGTCGTGAAATATCTCAACGGCCGTGAAATATTCGTTGAGATATGTGTGTGTTGTTATTGAGCACATTTCACATGAATAAAATGAATTTTAGGTGTCATTAGATGTAATACCCTTGCCTATATAAAATTCCATTCAATTCACCCCTATGAAGGTTTATCTTGACTAGTCATACAGTTACACAAACTCGAATTTGCCTGAAGTCTTGATTCTAGGGTTCATTCCAAAAAAGTTCGCTATATTTTTTTGCGTATGATCTAAACTCATGTTAATCTTGGTCCTTGAGCATTATCCTCATCATGGACACAGATGTAGTTATCGGTTTTTATTCCATATGGTCGAATTTCTGTTTTTTTGTCTAATAGATTAAATACTGCTTCTACTGTCTTACAAATGTATTAATTTCTCTATTATCATATCAGGTCTTATCACATTTTTAGCTTAGCATTTATATCTCAGTTGCACTTATTTAATATACATTTTTTCGGTTGACCAACATTCCATTTCGTAGGTCATGGTTGGCCAGATAACTATTTCAGTAGAGATGTATGTCATTCACATAATATGGCAAGAACCATCTTCCTGAAAAAAATAAAAAATAAATAAAAAAATAAATTATGGCAAGAATCAGCATTCCTTTTTGTAGATCATGGTTGGCCCGATAATGTTAAGAGTGGAATGGTCAATGGTCAAATCGCTTGTAATTTGAAAGTTCACTTTTGATTGTAGTGGGTGGCCAAAAAGAAACTCTTCAGATATAATGATGTCTATTTAATGGAAACATAATAATTATGAAGAAGTACTTAACCTGCATCACCAGACACTATTTGATCTTCTAGTTGGTACACTTTTTGATATCTCTACATAAGAAATGTGCTTATTACAAGCTGCAGCAACACCAAACATGCAGCTAAGATGAACATGAAAAATTGTCAACTTTTGTTATGAAGTAAAGGGCTCCCTTGGAACAATCTCATAGTCTTTGTATTTTGATCAATCTGAGGCTCTTATTTAATTCTGTTTTATTTAATTCATTTTTGAGGTAATTAAATGTTTTATCTATCATTTTAAAATCGGTTTTATGATTCATCTGTACTCTGAAGTCTAGTTTGGTTCTTAATATAATGATTTTTCCTTACATGACCATTAAAAATTCTTTGGATAAATATTTTTTCTTCTTCTGGCATACTTGAATTAATTTGTGATTTAATGCACTCATCTTGTTTTTACATAGGGTGCATAACCTCTACTTCTATTCGATATATTTTTTTCATTACAAATTTTGTTAATTTCATCATATCATCCCTTGTTCGTAATTTTTTTTGCCTTGTACTTACTGTACAGGATATTGCAAATGCGGAGCTTGCTCCAACACATCCAATCCGGCTTGGACTTGCCCTTAACTTTTCTGTGTTTTACTATGAGATTTTGAACTCCCCTGATCGTGCTTGCAATCTTGCAAAACAGGTATTTTTTAATTGCTGGTTTGCAGTTTATTCAAATTAAAATGATCTCCTAAATTAATGAACTAGCTAGGAAAATTGTGGATTTGGATAGTGGCACTTTATAACATGGATCTTGTGTGCCGTCTGGATTTGAACATGGCCCGGACTTGTTTGATTTATTTTTTATTCTGCCTTGACCAGGCTTTTGACGAAGCCATTGCTGAGTTGGATACCTTAGGGGAGGAATCTTACAAGGATAGCACTTTGATTATGCAACTTCTTCGGGACAACCTCACTCTGTGGACTTCAGACATGCAGGTATTAAATATATTTTCATGCATCTTCCTGTTGTATATGTTTCCTGATTGTTATTGTCTTGAAATTCAATGCTAATTGCTATGGATCACTTTATAATTTTGGTGTGTTCACTATTGTAACTGGTAACTAGCTGTGAAGCTTTTTGGGCCTGTCTATTTAAATTAATACGTGAATTCTTCTGACTCTGTTTTTTAAATTACTGAAAATTGCAAACAACCATTCCTGGTCGTTTTTTGAGAACAGGTGTCCATTATATTGTTTTATAGGCTGGCCTTTTTAACTTAATTTCCAAATAGTGAATCAAACAGACAAAACTGGCCAAAACATCCACTAATTCTTTAAAATGTAGTCAGTTGTTGTGGTGAAGAGAATCAGCGACAAGAAGCTTAATATAATCTCTTGAACTGATTTTTAACAAATTCCGGTTTCTGACACAGGATGATGGAGCAGACGAGATTAAAGAAGCTCCCAAGAAAGACGATGAACAACAGCAGTGAGGACACCTCACCCTTGAATTTAAGTTTCACTTCTCCTCTGGTGGTTTTTGTTAGGAGAAGGGGCTTGATTTTTATATACTGCTATTCTGAGATTTTTTTAGGGTTCTTGTCTTCATTTCCTGAACATTGGAAGCACTGAATATTAATGCTATGCCCTCTAGTGTTTGATTTAATGTGCTCCTGAATGGTTTATTGTATTTTCTCTAAATATTTGGGTTATGTGTCTGCATTAGGTATATTAAAATCCGTACTTATATAGTTAACCTAATAATTATAGTGTATTCTACCCCAAGTTGCATAATTCTTTTAAACGGGAGCCGCTCCGTTTTCGCTCCGGGCTTAGATTTTGCATATATATCTCCATTACCAACTGATGTTCTTGTTGCTGTAACATTTCTTTTTTTAATTTAAATTTATTTACTTTTTTTTTTTTTTTGAATTTTTTTTCCTCTCTCGCTAGGAATGAGTTATGAACCAGGTTATTGATGTGTTGGTTTTTAGAAGCATTGTTCATGTGTGTGATTTTGACTAAGCATAAGGAGAGCCTCGTGAAAAGCGTGATTATTATTCTGCAACTTGTTTTGGTTACCTTTAATAAAGGGGACCATTATGCACCCGAGCAATCACGCATGGTTTTGTGTTGGACTGTTGACCAAAGGGTTCACGGTGGATGACTAAAGGAAGAAGTTATAATGGGATTCTGATAATGGAGAATAAATTTAATGCGCCATTGTACCCATGACATGATTATGATCACTTGGAAAAAATTATTAATTCAACATCTAGAAAGAGAACTCCTTGAGCGTTGTGACTGAGGTGAGTTCAGGAGAGGATTTATTTATTTATTTATTATTATTACAATCTTGTACTTCCTCAGTTTTAAATTAAACGTCGCTTTCGGAATTTTTTGAAAGCGTTTAAGTTGGGATGGAGAGAGTACTTGTTTATGACTCTAGTTTACTCTTACAAAGAGATAGAGATGTGAAATGGATTGAGTGTTAGATTCATCTAATAGTTTTTACATTTTTTTTGTTGGTTAGTGAAACTTAGCCTGTTATGATTAGTATTAGAGTGAGATTCAGGCCTTTATTCGCATTCAACCTGGGCTCCTGGGTAGGCAAGGTGGTCCTATAATGAGATTGTTGTAAATTCGAATGGGGAAGAATGTTACAACGGGAGTCTTATCCCACGTCGAATCTGAATAGAAAGTGAAATGAGTGTAAAACTTGGTGGCATCTAAGTGAACATTCTTATGTAGGCTGGGTGGCCTATAATGAGATCGTTATGAGTTTGGATGGGGAAGAATGTGACAATGGAGTCCTATCCCATATTGGATCCAGAGAGAGTGAAATGGGTATAAATGTATTGGGTATTATCTACCTTCATCAAATAACTTGAGTTTTTGAATTGACCAATAACCAATACATTAAGTACTAGTACATGCTTTTGGTAGAACCCACCATTGGCTCCAGGGGGGGAAAGTATACATCCTCCAAATCCATTCAATGCCCGAACCACTAGTTTGTGTGTAGATGAGAGGCGTAAAGCTTCTAAAGCAAGGTTGCCACCAGCAACACCACCTCTCCCCCAAGTCGAACGAGAAGGCAGTGAAAACATCACGATAGGATGAAGATTAGGATGCCAAATCTTCATCGACAATAAATTTTGCCAATCTTCTGATACCATAGAAATGGAAATCATTTCTGTCTATCCATAGCTGCCAAATAATTGAGGCCGCAAGAGACCTAATTCTACTCTATGCCACCTGTTGTATGCTAGCTGATGATTTACTGTTGTTTTCAAAGGCCGGTATCAGGTCTGCTATGACCATTAGAAGGGTGCTTGATGAGTTCTCCATGGCTTCTGGGTTATAGGTCAGCCCTAATAAATCTACCATTTCCTTCTCTAAGGCCAACTGTGAGGAGAAAACAAAGCCTTCTTGAGTTCTTCAATTCAAGGCAGGCAAGTTTCCTATCAAATATTTAGGTATGCCTTTGAATGTTCATATACATCATCCACTACAGAGACTTTATATGTAAATCATCCGAACCAGAATGGATGTTTATGATTTAGCAACATATATAATCAAAGACCTAATTCCACTCGAATCTCAATTGCCATTAAAAAGGAATAAATTAAGAATTTGTAAGTTCCATTAAAATATACCACCGACGCATTAGCCCAATGGTACCACCTCTCTCTCAAAAGAGAAGGGGAAGTCTGCGGGTAGTGTAGTAAGTAATTTGTGTAATTTGTGAAATGTGCGTGTGACAACCAAATAATGCAACAACCAAATCGGCTTCCAAGAGTCGATAACATTAGAAGGTATGCCTTGATAGGAAGGCTACGAAGCATATTTATGAAATATCACGAATCATATAATTCATATTAATAAATTATTCAGAACCTACATACCATTAATTTGGAAATTAGCTCTTTTGCAATCATAATGCATCTAACTAAATCAATGTCACTATCTCAGATACAAAAAGCTATTCAACTTGGAACAGATAATTTTGTGTGTGTGTATATATATCCTGTCGACATTCATCATCTAGGTATCAGCTTCATATTCCATCTAGATATATATATATATCCTGTCATCATCTGGTATCAGCTTCATATTCCATCTATATATATATATATATATATATATATATATATATATATATATATATATCCTGTCAACAGTCATATTATCTAGGTATCAGCTTCATATTCCATCTAGTAGTAATCCAACACTTAATAGGGGAGAAAGAAGGATCTCTACCAACTTTATGAGTAAATCTCAACTATGCATCTTCGATTCCGTGTTAGAAGGAATCACATGCAAGAGCTTATGGCTTTCAAGGCATGTTCATAGGCAGCAGAGTAAGAAAGGAGGGTCCAACTTCTCCGAACAACCTTCAGTGCACATGAAACAAATATCTAAAATTACCAATAGTCCAGCAGCAATACAACATGATTTATACTACTCTCATGCATTGGCCTGTAGTACTCCTAGACACTGGAGAAAGATTTGAACAAAGACGAGAAAGTCTCTCATCCAGATTAACAAGGCTCGTGAAACTAATAGATGTTAAACGTAAAGATCGAGCATACAGTTGATAGATAAAACATGTTACATGTTACATGCAAGTCAGACCAGAACATATTACATGTTGCACAGATGTTGATAGATGTTACATGTTACATCTTAGCCAACAGTTGATAGATATTACATGTTACATGCAAGCTAGACCAGAACGGGAACCACATGGATAATGGCATTTTATACTCGGGTTTTTCTACCCATTGTTAAGCGAAAACGAATAACCCTAGCTTTCTTGTTTTCGGAGTTCTTTAGTTTGGTGGGATGTAATTTATGGGCTACTTTGTCTGTGAAAATGTGTTTGCACAAAATTTATGTTTATCTTTGCTATATTGATTTTAGATTAATCTATATATATCTATTGTTCTAGCCTGTTTGAATTTGTTTAATTAGACACAATGCACTGTGTTACTTTGTCGATACAAGTTATGGATTTTGTTAGTGTGTTGGATGCTTCTCTGTATATTTTGTGAATCCGGTGGTGCAAGTGAGAGGGCTTGATGCTTCTTGAAATGGGACATGTTTTGCATTTCACTAGACAAAGATTTCTACTCTCATTTATGATCAACCTTTAGTTTAGACATGAAACCTTTGAATTCGATGTTCCACAACCTAATGCTGAACCTTGTATTTCGTTTTCCTTTTGTCCTGGGGTTATAATGAGAAAAGACATAGTTACATCCGAGCCCACAATTGGGACAAGTTTTTTCATTTCACTAATTTGATATCTACCGATACACCATTGATTGTGGTGTGAATTACTCATTACTCGTGTACCTACGTCACTGTCACTCGGCTCTCACGCACAACCCGCCCGGTTGTGTTATGGAAGAATTACATGTTGCTTTTTGCTGGGCTGGTTATTCAGAGCCAGCAATTGGCTGTCCCATTGGAGAAGGGAAACAGAGATTTAAAGATCCTAATTTATAACTACAACAAAGTTTGTGTTGATGTGAAATGCTATTTGTCATTCCCAGAGTTTTAAGCAAGAGAGTACTAACTTAATTATTTGAAAATATGACAAAACTCGTAGAATTCAGTGATTCAAAATGGTGAGTAGCAGAAGCATTGATGTCGCAAGTGTGCAATTGGGATTCATTATCAAACTGCAACTAAATCACAATGTCAACCGCATCAAAACTTCGCAAAGGCATAATAACAATTCATTAAAACCTAAGAAGCACGGACACGGATACGGGACACGAATATGACACGACACCGACACGGTGACACAGCAAATCTAAAAAAATTAGGACACGGATACGGCGAATAGTATATATATATGATGTGTTACTATTTTTCATCAACCTCACAATAAAAAAAAAAACACAAATTATAACTCATAATTAATAAACTATAAAAGAACAATGTTGCAGAGTTATAAAACCAAATAAAAAACAATGACATTAGAATAATAACTAGTATCATTTAATCATCATTGCAACTTTACTTCAAATACAAAAGTATAGACAGAAAGGACTATTAACATTCATGACTGTTTAACATTCAGGATTTTCATGTTAGACACGTTTTTTGACGTGTCCGACGCATGTTCGTGTCCGACACGTGTCAGACGCAAATTTTACGCCCATTTTGAAATGTCCGTGCTTCCTAAAATTTAAAACTAATATCATCTCCCCGGCAGTTGATCAAATTTAACAAAACAGCCATGTTTCGAACTCAACTTAGGAGGGCCCTGACCATTGGAGCTGCCTCCAAGCATCAATGCATTGTGTCTAATTAAACAAATTCAAATAAGCTACACAAATATATATATATATGAAATCTATAAAGCAAAGATAAACATAAATTTTGTACAAAAACATTTTCTCACATACAAAGTACCATAAACCTTTACACCCCACCAAACTGAATAACTTCATCTCCATCTCCCCAATATTCAATTAATCAAAACCCCGAAAACAAGAAAGTTAGGGCTTTTTTTTTTGGCATGTGGACAACCATTTACAGAACAGGAAAAAATATATAAATAAACTACTAATCCACTAGTGTCGGACATCATTTCTCTGAATAATTGGCCTTTGAATATATTCCCCAACATTTACAAATACAGATATATGTATACATATACAAGAATATCACACGATTTTGCACCCATGTTTATGAACTTATAAACCCCAAAAAATTACAAAACCCTAAGTGGGTTACCTTTATCTCTGGAGTCCACAGATAATGCAAAATGATCAAAGATTTGTCCACCTGGGGCTCGGCACAGGCATTCTTGGGGAGAGCAAAGGGTATGGCGATCGCGGCGACGGCAAGCAACCCCCGAACGGCAGTGGCGACGACGGGATTGAGAACTGCGATTGAGCCATTGAAGTCCTCGTCGGCGACGGAACAATGTTCTGCTGCGGCGGAGGTACGTGCTGCTGATGCGGAAGCAGCTGAGACTGGGGAAGATTGTTCCACCTCGGCGGGTTCGCCGGGAATCGATTGGAATCGGAATCGGTGGTCGAGATTGAGCTCTGGAGGTACCGCATGTAGGCGGAGATGGGCGATTCCGCCGCCGCTTGAACCGCCGGGAACGGCGGTAGCGGCGACAGAGGTGTCGCTGGCCGTTGATTGTTGATGAAGTTGGTAGATAGCCCACAGCCTGAGGCGGCGGGGTTGTTAGGGTTTATGGTGGCGTTGTTTAGCAGGGGAGGTGGACGACAGCTAAGATGCGCGAGGGGTGGAGGACGTATTCGCTGAAGTCGAGAGCTTTGGGGCTTGGACGCCTGGACCGGTGGAGGCGTAGCGAACCGCTCGTGAGCCGGTAAGCCGGTTAATTTCTGAACAACTTCTCGGAAGTCGCTCTTGTTGATATTGTAGACCGGCGGCTGATGCTGCTGCTGCTGCTGCAGATTCTGCGGCTGTGATTGCATTTCCGGAGGTGGTGGTGGCGGCGGCTGATGATTAACGCGATGATGATGGTCATCAAAAGTGGGTTTTCTGATGATGGTTTTTGATATCTTGTGAGAGATTCTATTGAGATGTTTGAGTTGTTGATCTCTATTAGTACTGGTACTGGTATGAGTAGTAGTAGAGTCCCCACTTGAATGACAACTTGTATTATCCATGTTGCTCTTTCTAGTTATTCATCATCATCATCATCCTCGATCATTCCCCCTCACTTTCTCTCTCTAGATCTATCACCGCTTTCTCCCTCTAAAATGGTATCGATGTCTGTAGTGCTGCTGTATATATACGTTTAGCTACATATGTATGTGTTACTGTGTAACTCTCTATCAATGCTAGTACTTTAATTTCAAACAAAGATTAAAGAGATGGGAAAGAGCGAATAAACACAGTCAGTCTGCTTTAATTTTTGGTAACTAGCTTTAAGAAAAGAAGAGAAGGGACAAGACCCGTTAAAGAAGGTGATGGATATATATATACACACAAACTGCTGTATGTATATATATATACACGACGATAAATGATGATGCGTTTGGAAGGGGCTTTGGTTGGATAAGTGATTGCGTCAATAAAATTGTCTTGTTCCCAAGCGTGGCGGTTCACGAACCGATTTACATCTCGGTGGACGAGTCTAGTAGCGGATAGTGTCTTTTATAGTCCCATTCATGACATTAATACGTCCATATCCCTAATGAAAATGCAACCATACAATAAAATGGGTCAATTTTTGTATTTTTAAGCCAATGGGTCTAGTCAAGTAGTCAAAGTTGCTATTTACCAATTATACAAATCCGGTGCTAATTAATGATTGACATAAATATTTATTAAAAATTTTATTTTTTAAAAATTAGCAAGAATCTTTATTGCACTCTATTTATTAGAATCACTAATATATTGCCCAAATTAATCTGATTCATTTTTATTAGTCAAGTGCAATAATATAGTAGGAGTAGTGGTTTAAAGACTAAATTCGGTTGTTATCGAAATTAATTTATGTGAGAGGAATAATGTATCCCATCACATGACATCACGATAATATCACATTGTAAGGCCTATCACCTTATTTTACATAAATTGAACTCGATAATTGTTGAATTCGGTCCTTAAATCATAAGGGGACACATTCAATGTCCACTCTATTTTTGCTTTAAATTTTTATTTTAAATAGTATTTTTCTTGTTTTTAAATCATCAAACAGGTGACATGTTCGCACGGTATTAATATTAGAATAATTGTTCCTTCAACAAACACATTATTATTAAGATTAACCGTCACCTACTAACCTTTGTTTGATGTGTGTGGTTTAAGATAGGATAAAGATGTATAGTCGTTTTGAGGCGACCAATCCACCACACGTAAGACTTGTTATGATCGGAATATGGAAGCGCGGGGCTTAATGGTGAGTGGAGTGTGTCTGCATTATTCGGGAATAATTACACTTATTTCTATAGATTGTTTAAATAACACTGACATTGTTATGCATATTTTAATAAAAATAAAAATATTATTTAATATAATTATTTATAATGATGAATATTATTATAGTAGTTAAATTAACTTTATGGAAACAATTATTTCAATAGTAATTTCTATCTTTATATTATCTTAGCTTAGCAATTACACTCACATTTTGAGAGGCCACAGAGATTATATACTTCTACCATATTCTTTTCTTTCTAATATATATGTATCTATATGAGTGATGATGTATGGATGGGTGAGACTCTTAGAGAAGTTTTCATCTCTCTATCAATTTATATTCTTCCTCCACATCTATTTCTTTTGTGAGATATTATTGTTTTGTATATTGAGTTTATGAGCAATACACTTGTATAGGCTTAGACATAGTCTTCCCATAGTGCATGGAGGAGACGCCGTTGCGAATGAATTGGGTTGTATCTTCAAGATCACTAGATTCGCCGATATCCGCATGAAAGGATAACTATCAACTCTAGGTCAATGTGTTTACACACGCCTTTATAATCAGGCTAGTACTTTCTTTGTTTTCCTTCTTAGTTTTATTATTATATTAATTTTCTATTGCAAAATTATTTATATTGTTAAATTCATAACTTGTCATTATATCCATATTATTTATATTGCTGTATTCATTTATTGAAAGAATTGTAAGGTGAGATTGATGTATTATTTCATTATATAATTTTAAATTGATGAATTGTTCTTCATATTTTTCTATTAAGTATGTGAAATTTCTACAATAGACATCTCATATGGTTCAGGTCTGAATAACACTGATTTTTCAGATCATAAAATTTGACATTCTTGTCGACCATAACATGCACAAAATTTATTTAAAATTCGAGAATAGCCTTAAAAAGATAGAAAATGTTATTGTGTCTATATGTTAAACTAATAAAAGTACAATATTCGGATCAAAATTAATACTAATATATGGGATAAGAAAAAGTGAAAAGGCAAGCTAGGAATACCACAATACAACATTAAAAAAATACAACCCAAGTAGAATGGGAACAGTTTGATTATTGGTTTTTCATTTTTGGTGAAACAATTTGAAATGGAAAATCCCAACGTCCATTTCTTTGAAGATGTTACGTCATTTAATGTAACATGTTATAACAGTGTTTTTGCAACAAATTTTCAACTACAACATCCTTCGTAACAACGAAACCACAGCTGTTGGCGGGTAGAAAATGATTGGATACCATGATTAAATATTGCCCATGTGACTTGTCCCCGTCATTCTTGACTACTTGCTAAGATTGTTGGCATCAATCCCAGCCTCCCAGGTGAGATATACTGGTTTATGTATAGTGTGTGTATATATATACACATAGTGATGGAGAATAAACTTGCTTATCAGTATAAATACTAACTCGTTGTAATGATATAGAGTGTATCTCATCTATTTCTGACAATGGATCGAACAAGGGCATTGTAGCATTATTCACACACACACACACATCTATATATATATATATATATATATCTTCAAAAGTTTTTGTAAGCTAAGAAGCATATTGGTTCTCAATTCCCTGTCCACGTCTATCTCAAAGTTTCTTGTATGATTACCTTTTTAAATTGATAATTTTTTAACAATTTTACAATTTGATTTCAATTGAATTTTTTAAAATATTAGATATATATATTTATAGGCACGGGCCCAGCAGGTGACCAGGGGGTAGATGCCTCCTCGGATTTTTAATATTTTCATTTTATACCTTGATTTTTAAAAAAATTATGAAAATTCCCCCCCTAAAATTACAATTCGCCCCCATTGGATTCTTTTTTTTTTTAGCATTTTATACTTCAAATTTTGATAATTTATGAAGATGCCCCCACTAGAATTATAATTTGCCCTACTGATTTTTTTTATTTTTTTTTCATTTTATACTTTAAAATTTTTAAAATTTATGAAAAAAAAACTCTATTAAAATTACAAAAATGAACCCATCATATAATTTTGTACCTACAAATTAAAAAACCGCCCCCCTCACAAAATTTTATGGGTCGTCACTGTATATTTATAACCGTGATTATATATGATTACTTTAATCATTTGAAAATTTAAATTTTTTTGGAGAATTTGTTCATAATTGTTTATAAGGTTCATTCAGTTTTCATATATTTTTTTTTGCAGAAGTAATCGGATCCAAGACTAATATATATATATTGTTTAAAAGAAAAATAAAAATAAAAAAAATCACCCAAGTTCCAATACTTGAATGCGGATTGGACTCAGGTTAGGGAGTTTGGGATAAATGTGAACTTAAATTGGGTTTAAATTGGTAGTTTTATATTTGGATTGGGCCTAAGTTTATCCCTCAACTCTTCCAACCCACCTAAATTGCACCCATACTTCTAAGACTAAACTAAATGCCAAACAGGCATGAAATTAACACTAAATAATGTCACAGTTGGGCTCTTAAATAATTAAGCCCAGTTTGGTTGGAAGGAAAGAAAAATGAAAGGGCAAAAAAGAAAGGAAAACGGAGTGATATGATTATTTTTTTATTTTGTGTTTGGTGTGAAATTTTGGAAAGGAAATAAAGGGAATGGAAGTATTTGGAGGAATATGTTAAATCATCTCCCTATAAATTCTTGTAAGTCCCCAGCATCACATGCTTGATGAATTGAAGGAAATGAAAAGAAATGTTAACATTTTTAATGAAATTTTGTTAATACCAAATTTATTTTTATTTTTGTACAAGATAAAATCTACAATAATAATAATAATAATAATTGTAAATTCATTAAAACATTTTCATTTTCATTTTTTTTTTTCTTTTCTTTCTTGAGCCGACCAAATATGATAAGTAGTCTACACATACTCTCTTTTTACTTGAAACTAATTTTTTTTTTTTTTTATTATTATTTTTTTTTCTACTATACCAAACATAGCCTAAGATGCTTCTTGGGTCATTAAATCGACCAACTAGATTACTCCCTCCGTTCCAAATTGTTTTGAGAGGATGATTTTTAGTTGGTTTTTTTTTTTTTAATGAATGAATTACCAAATTATCAGTGATGATTTACTTTTTATAAATTCAATACAATAAAGTTAAATTGATAATGTTACAAAAAGAAATAAAAATAATAATACTTTAATTTTTTAAATGGAACATTTATTTTTGGACAATCGAAAATAGAAAGATGGACAATTTCTCTAATAATTTCTCGATTGTTAGTAAGTAAACTTATCATTCCCTTCGGTCTCAAGATTAGTGTCTATTTTTTTTTTTTTTTTTTTTTTTCATCCATTTCAAAATAAGTGTCACATTTGAAAAGTCAACGTACAATTTTTTGTAATATTACCAATTTAACGTTCCTGTATAATTCATTCATTACTAATACAACAAAATCATTATCTTAAAAAGTAAGATTTAAAAAGACTGTCTCGTATTTTGAAAGGGAAGAAGTATTTTAATACTCTCTATTTTTTATTATATTATAATACCCATTTTGTTAACAAGAATAAAAGGGCATTAAATTTTGGGAGGGAGCGAGTGTGCCCAAAAAAAAAAAAAAATGTAAGTAAAAAAATTATTCATCTTCTTCAATTAAATCATTTTTTTTTTCTCCTTCAAAGTTTTCTCCTTTATAATATATTTATTTATTATTTTATTCTTTTCTTACTCTCCTTTCGTTTTTATTACCTCTTTTTAAAATTTCGTATTATACGCATGTATGATCAATGATGTATGTGTTGTAATTTCGTTTTTTACTTCTTCTTCTTCTTTAATTTTATTACAGCAATTTTATAATGATTGTATTATATATTTTTTATTTTTTTCTTACTGTAGGGTTTTTTTTTTTTTTTTTTCCTTCAAAAATGACATAATATTTGAATCTTTATTATTACTTTCATAGTGTCCTATGTTTCGGTCTGCTGCCACCTTAATTAAAAATAAATAATAATAATAATAATAATAATTTACTTTGTTATGTTCATTATTTCTCCAGAAATAAATTATTGGCTGTGTCCCAGACACCCAGATACAACTCAAAGCCTAAATGCCTGCAACCAAATCTTGT